GGTGTGCCTGGGTGACAGTCAGTTGTGTCTGACTTTGGCTCAGGTCATGATCTCATGGCTTGTGGGTTTGAGCCCCATGTCGGGCTCTGTGCTGACAGCTCAGAGTCTGGAACCTGCTTCAGATTCTGTGTCTCCCTCTCTCTCTGCCCCTTCCCCGCTTGCACTCTGTCTCTCTGTTTCTCTCTCAAAAATAAACATTAAAAAAATAAATAAAATAAAAAATGAAAAAAAAAATAGGTTGAAGCCTTTGTGACACCTTGTATGGGGGTGTAACTCTTTACACCTTGTAAAGAGTTTGAGCTTCACTGTACAGGCAAGATGAAATTCCTGCAGGGGCACCTGGGTGGCTCAGTTGGTTAAGTGTCCGACTTCCGCTCAGGTCATGATCTCATGGTTCATGGGTTCAAGCCCTGAGTCGGGCTCTATGATGACAGCTCAGAGCCTGCAGCCTGTTTCAGATTCTGTCTCCGGCTCTCTGCCCCTCCCCCGCTTGTACTCTGCCTCTCTGTCTCTAAAATAAATAAACATTAAACAAAAATAAAGAAAGAGGAAATTCCTGCAGAATGTTGGGTAAAGGATAACTGTAGAATATAAGAAGATCAACATGGTGGTGTGGTGGAGGAAGAAGACTATAACATCAGGAGAGGACTTAGATGACGAGGGGTGAGACGAAAATGGCCTTTTGCTATAATGACTCTACTAAGGAAGAAAAGAAGGAAAGTTGCTAAACACACAAATGTGGCTCTGTGATGAGTGGAGATATAGGGAGAAGAGCAGCTATCCAAGCATAAATACTAGCATGTCACACACTGGAGGAATTGTGTCAGGAGGGCGAAAGTGGAAGATAACTCGTGGGTTTCAGGTAATGTCCAAGTTGTGCAAAGTTAATTAGGAAAACAGGAGTAAGTGTATATAGCAAATGATGGCATATTGATAGATGGCATGGGAAAGCACACCTCATCAACTATTATTTTGCTTCCAATAGACAAGGTCAAGGAGAGTGATTTTTAGACTGAAGGTAGGGTGAGGGGAAGATCAAATATGATAACTAAAGATAGCTCCCAATGGGTGAAGAAATTATAGGAAAGCATCTATCTGCTTTGGGTGAACTGTAACCCAGGAAAGAGAACTTTTTTTTTTTAAATTTTTTTTTAACATTTATTTTTTTATTTTTGAGACAGAGAGAGACAGAGCATGAACAGGGGAGGGGCAGAGAGAGAGGGAGACACAGAATCCAAAGCAGGCTCCAGGCTCTGAGCCATCAGCCCAGAGCCCGACGTGGGGCTCGAACTCACGGACCGTGAGATCGTGACCTGAGCTGAAGTCGGACGCTTAACCGACTGAGCCACCCAGGCGCCCCAAGAGAACTTTTAGTGATATCTCTGTATCTCTGTTGTTGACCTTAGAGAAAGCTTGGAGAATGTGAACGCTGGTTAGCGAAAGGGGGGAGGTTGTGTGTGAGCAAATGAAATTCCAAATTTCAACAATGTGGATTTCACAAACTGCAAACCAATGATTTTAATGTTATTTTGGGGCAAGATCCTAGAATAGCATTCAGAAAGGATGAATTGTAGAAGAGTCCTGGAAGAGAAAGTGAGGATTATTAGAACTTTATATGGGTCATGTGGAAACATGACTGACCGTGTGTTTTCTTTATCGGTTGACTTCACGGTTAGACCAAGGAGCCCTGCTGGATACAAGAAGCACTAATAATCAGGAAGCATCAGAAAGCCTGGAGCAGCAAGCTCAAGGAGAAAAAAAAAAATCAAGGGGGTATTTAGTCTGGAGGGAAGAAGGCTTAGGGAGAACATGATGGCCAAGGTCAAGTATGAGAAGGACCATTAAATGGGAGAGGAATCAGGTATCTGTGGGCTTCTCAAAGGCCAATGGGTAGGATTACAGGGATCTAGGATGAGACTCAGTATAAGGAAGGACTGTCTAACCATTTATACCATCTGAGAGTGGAACAGGGTACTTGCCAAGAGAGTGATTTCCCTATCACTGCAAGTATGCAAGCAGAAGCTGGCCAATTACTTTTTTGGGAAATGTTCTAGGAGAGATTCATGCATTTTTGTGTGGTAAACTCTAAAGTCCCTTCCAATTTTGGGATTCTCTGATCCTAGGACAGTGTAGGTTCAAATCGGAAGGACTAGGTTGGAAACAGTGATGCCACAGCTAACAGGGTGGAAGGAACTGGAAGAAGGCAGAGGGAAGAAACATAGATCACTCAATTAAGAAAAGAAGGTCAAGTGGTTATATAGTCTGGAGGAGGAATCCTCCCTCCTTTTAGCACCAAAGACCAGGCTCTTCCCCAAATGGAGTAGGGCTGTCCAGGAAAACCACATTTCAAAGGAGGCCTGAAAACAACATCTTTAAAAGGCTGTGGGGATGTCACCAAGGCCAAAGTTTTCAAGATAGAATTTTAATGATGTTGGGAAAAGAGGAGGACAATGTTCCATTTAGGGCCCTTCCCACAGCAGGGCCCTAATCACAGGATGGCCCAGGAGGGCCATGGGAGAAGGGACAAGGCACATCAGTGGAAGCAGGCCTAAGGCACAGGCCTGGAGAAAAGTTGCAAAAGGAAGAACAAGAAAGGGACGGAATAATGGAAGAAGGAGGACAGATACAGATAAAAGGAACAGGTACCTTCATTGCCAGATGGGTAACCTCCTGGGTTTCCAGGGGGCTCCAGGGCCCCCTTGGAAGTGGTTCTTGGAAGTGGTTCTCGGGGGAGGGGAGAGCTGGTAATCAGGAGAGTGAGGCTCTAATGTGGATGTACCCCTACTTGCTGAGTGACCTTGTAGGTATCATTTCACCTTTCTGCCTCCTCCCTGTGGTCAGACACAGACATCCTGTTAGACTGGAAGTGCTCTGGGCTTTCCAGAATAAAGTAGCTCCGGGAATTTCAGACTGCAAGTCTGCAAGTGTGCAAAGCGTTTGCGCTTGTTTCCAGATTTTCATGGCTGGGGGAGAGGGAACAGGTGAGGGTAGACAGGAAAGGTGAGACCACATTGTGGCCAAGTCGCTGGGCTCCGCCTCACCGTCCTAGGGAACCCAGGGGACCGGGAGGCGGCCAACGGCATGTGCCTGATAGCCCCTCGGCCAGCCGGGCCCCCTAGAACCCGGCGGACATCCTCAGGCTCTGCTGTCCCTTTCAGCAAAACCCATTGCCGCATCCAGGGACCGAAGGCGAGGCACGCCCCTCCCCCACTAGATGGCACTGAAACGCCTCGTTCCCGATTTTCAAACTGCAGGGAGGATGAAAAAAGACAAAAAGAATATGGTGGAGGTGCGCTCTTTCTGGCTCGCAGGCCGCGTTGTGCAAAGCAGGGTGCCGGACACTTTTTCCCCCCGCAGGGCAGCTCTTTACCCCGCGGTGCGGGCCCCCAGCTTTGGAGTAAGGGTGAAAATGAGGGGCGAGCATTGCAAAGAAAAAACCAGGCTTTCAACCTGGGAGGGAGGCTCCCAGCCTTTGCGGCGCGGTCTCACGTGAGCCGGGCGGTGGGGGTGGCGGGCGTTTCTGGGATGAACTGGGGCTCCCTTGGGGCCCACCCGCCCACGGTCTGGGGTCCCGCACTGCTTCCCAGCGCCCCCGCTAAGCCTAAATCCAGCAGCCACCCAGATGAGGACAGGCCCGCACCGAGGTTTCATTTAACCCCACCTCCCCTCCTCAAAGCGCGAGCCCCCCGGCGTTTTCAAAATATCTGTTAAGCACCACCCCCCCCCCCCCCCCCCCCCATTAAAATTCTCTTCCTCTGGTCTTGAAAGGATCAGTCAGTTTCCTTTTTTTCTTTCCTGCTGGGGAGGGAGGTGGTGGCAGGTGGAGGTGGGTGTGTGTCGGGGGGGTCTGGCGCTGGCGTGGGGCTAGACTCGGGTTGGCCGTGGCAACCCCAGCGACGCGCCGGCCCCGGGGGGGAAACTGCTGGAGCTAGCAAGGTAGCGCCTGTGGCTTTCTGGGGAAAACAAAGATCTAATGTGATCCTAGATTCCAGCGACAAAACTGGGGACGCAGGAACTTCCTCAGCCCCTCTGAACGCCGACTCCGCAATAAGCAGTCTTTAAAGAACTGGGGTCGATGTGAGGGAATTTTCCACCACCAAAAAGAGATAAACAGGAGAAGGGGGCAACATCCCTAAATTTATAATAATGCACGGAAACATGCTACATGCCACATGTATGTATATGTGCATAAATATGGATATGGTTGGGCACATACCTATCCAGACACCATTGACTTGCCTGGTCAGAGACTCAGGCTTAGACATCTCGTGCCTGGGAAATGGTGCAGTTTATCTTTAAGGATGCTAGAAAAATAAGAGATGAGGCTCACGTTGCACGGATGACATCACTAGCTTTTGGCTGCGCGCTCCGTGTTCTCGTCTGTGGGTTTTAGCCAAAGCTGCAGCGCCCGGCGCCCGAGCGAGCGAGCGCGGCAGCGGCTTCCTCCGGCGCCCGCACCCGGGCGATGCGATTTCCCGAGCACCCCGGGCGCAGCCTGGGCTCTGGCTCCCCACCACCCGCCGAGCCCGCGAGGCCCCGGAGCCGCCGCGGCTAGAGGAGGAGGCAGGGAGGGGAAGCCCAGCGCCCCAGCCTCCCTCCCCCACCCTCGCCCCATTCACCTCGGCGGCCGCCGCGCGCTGGGAGCCTGATCGCGGGACGCCGAGGCCCGGACGCGATTCTCCGCGCGCCGCCAAGTGAGCCGGTGCCTCGGCTCCTGGGTGGGCTGCGAAGAAAATGGTGCAGTCTGAGAGCGGCTGACCCCAGTTGGGCAGAGCAGACAGCTCCAGCGCCGGGCTGTGGCGGGAGAAGGGGGCGGATTGTTTTGAAGGGCCGGGACCGCTGTTTTCTTCGGTGCCTGCAGCATTTTCTTTGCACCTGAGCAGCAGGTTCCTGGGGCTAGTTGGGAGCCAGATGAAGTGAGGCAGAGGCATCGCGGGAGAGGCGGGTCTGGAACCTCTCGGGTGGATACTCAGGAAGGAGACTGCGCTGGGGAGACCGGCATGACGCCCCCGGGGCTGGCTGCGGGGCTGGTGGTGAGCCCGGACCGCGCGACCTGTCCATGGTGTTGAAGGCACCGCGCGCCGAGCTCCGCGCGCGCCGCGCCGTGCGCCCTGCCGGGTGCATCCTCCTCGGCGCATCCTGTCTCTCGAGCCCGCCGGCTGCCGCCCATTCACCCCTAACCGCGGGCCGAGGCTCGTCTGGTTACGCCGTCCGGGTGACCGCGCCGTCGGCCCGAGGGGCCTCCTGAATGGCGAGGCCAGAAGCAGAACACCCGGGAGCTCGCGCGGGAAGGTTGGCCGCGACCGTGCGCCCACGGGAAGCCCGCCTCTGAGCACAGCGCGCTGGCCAGACAGCAAAGGACCTACTGGTGACCAGAGGACGGAGCTTTTCCAAAGAGCCGACCCAGAGAGGAAGAACATTTCTTGGTTTG